GAAACTACAGAACTGATTTAGAAGGCCTTACAGACTCATAAGCTAACGAGGAGGAGATCAAATCCCGAGGCAGGCTGACACGGGAGGGCAGCCATCTCTACAAGCTAACGAGACAGGACCCCCCCTGGGGGGAACCAGGGGCTCCCAGGGGCACGTACCACCACGGGCCCGAGAGAAGCAGCCACCAGCCAGGCAGCAGATTTGGGTTAGACCATCCTCATCCGCACCACCAGACTACAACCCACCCAGAGGCCCCAAAAGGTGCCAAAATCATCACCAAACAACGATCCTATCTGTAGCGCACCGAATTAAAACCAAACCAATGCATCTTTGGCAAGTTCCTCGCAGCAGTCAAGCCTACCCTGCCACAGAGAAGGCCTCTCCAACAGGATCCCCATGGAGGCCTCCTGCCCTAATTTACAGCAATTCTTTTTCAGACGCACTGGCAAACACCAAACGTTTCCTCCAATCTGTTACATAAGGCCCAATTTTTAAACCTCTGCGCTGGCAGTGGGGAGGTGGGGGCACGCTGCGTGCGGCAGGCTGACAGGGCAGTCCAGCTGGCCGATGCATTTACACGCTCCTCAGAGTTCATTTCCAGGTATCTGACCACTTGTTGTACAAAAGGAAAACAAAGGGATTAGTTAAACGAGGCAACTTCCAAACACACTGGTGCAAACCACTCGCATGCCTGCAGTCATTTTACACACGGTTTGACTCGGGTCCCAGCTTGTTCAGAACTGACTAATTTCACGGCAACTTGAAAGAGGCTTAACAAACTTCATTTTTTTAACTTCAGGAATACACCAAACAAGGCAGGTCTCCGTGCTGCCCAGACCAAAAGCCATTCCTCAAGAGAAAAGGCACCTTCCTGAACATCCCCTCACCTTCACATTATTTGCCCCACCTGGATCCAAGAGCCTCCTTCCATTCCCTGCTGCCCGCCACCGGACAGGAGCCACCGGCCTCTGGTGGCCCAGCTCCACAGCAGGGCTGCTTCTCGCCTGCAAAGCCTTAGGAACAGTTAAAGTCGGCTCCTGTCTGGTGGGGGCAGAAGGGGGAGGGTATTTTTCCTGTTTCTCACATTCATCCTCACCCGCTTTGCTAAAGGGAAGGAAAAAAAAAAAAAAAAAGCTATTTTAAATACCAGATTCAGCACAGTCCCTTTCCCCAAATAAACACTTCCCAAGCCCTCTGGAGGGAGGAAAGCCACGTACAAAGGAGCCAACATCCTGCGAGGCTCCGGCTCCGCCGGGCAGGCCAGGGCCGGGCACAGGCCCGGGGGACACAGCCCGGGGAGGCCCGACCCCATCCCCG